CCCAGCTCTCCAGCCTGTCCAGGTCTCACTATCCCAGGTTTATTTCAGCATCCCTGGACAGTTTTATAAATTGCACATGTAAACAATTGCTACATTTCCATAAAAACTACAAATAAAAAATGATCAGAAGAAACTGTAGGTATGGTACAAGATATATTAAAAGTGGGGGTAAAGAGAAGTGGTTAGTCATATATGTGTGCTGGGTCAGATATGAACCTCCACTTGCTTCTGTTCCCTTGCTCTCAAGGAGAAGTTTTCAATGCAAGTTTGATAATGGAAAAGGAATTCGGGTCATCTTGCCCAGCTAGTTAGCAGTGCTATAGACCTCAGTGCTCACTTGACAAAGGTGACATCCCACTTACACATACATAAGCCTCTTTTCATCAGCCTGTGCAGTAGGAGGTTAAATTGAATGTATGTATACATAGACTTGAACTGACCTTGCCGTAGCAGGAATACTGAAAGAAGGCTTTGATGTGCTTGAGAACCATGCTGAAACTGTGTGTGGTCTTTACACACAAGGTAATAAAGTCATAATAAGTAAAATACAGTAAATACACTCATGTTAGAAAAGCGTTGATGGGGCTTTTTCACTGCTGAATGGGGAGATTCCTAACCTTCCACATAGGAATGAGCAGAAAAGACAGATCAATCATTGGGGCCCAAACCTATACACTTATCTTCAGTAGTGTGGCTCGAAGAGGCATCCCTCTTGCTTCAAGGAGAACCAGGACACTATCCAGCTAGTGAAGTCTTACTCTGTCCCTTTCATAGGGTAAAAATGAGCCCTGGATCCTGGAGATGTACCTACTCCAGCCTCAGCCCGGCACCACTTCATACTGGCACCTGTTATATAAGCAAGAAGTACCATGGCACTAGAAAAATAGAAATGTGCTTGTCTAATTAAGCACACTCCTGTTACACCTTTGTTTTATTGTGTGCGGCATACTTTGTGAGAATTCAAACGAGATACTCGGCAAAGTGTGAGAGTTATGCTGTTCATTTCAAAGCTGTCTCTGTCCAACCCCTTCTTAGAGAAATTTTCTCAGAAATAATTGTTCAAAGCAGGTTTTCAAAGGAATCCAGAACAAACAGTTCTCTTCCAGATCATCCCTCGAGTAAAGTTCTCCTACAGCAAAACTGTCTGCTGACTAATAGTAAGAGTTAAAAAAGGTAGCTTCTTCCTTGAGAAAGTGAGTGGAGGGATGATCTATGCTTGAACTAATGTGTATCTGAGTAGGCTGGCACAGCCGGGGTCATATATGCTCTGACATCTAAGGCTGAAGGATGAGGAGAAGCTCTTTTTCTCTTGGCAGAAAGGGTAACATTTCCATTTCATCTTCTCTTGGATGACATTTCCAGGTGTGAGATTAGATGGTTCTGCTGCAACGTAGAAATTGGTCTGTAATGGAAAGCAGTAGTTGTAGGGCAAGCCACATAAAACGAACTGGAACCTGCAGGATAACCAGAAAATTGTCCCTGGTTCTGCACGAGGATTAAGAAGTGACGCCTGTAGCTAGGTACTGCATGGGTCAGTGTCACAGTCAGACATGGAGTTAGACTGCCACGCTATTTAATCAGCATAGAGTCCACACAACCACTCTTGAGCAAGGCTGAAGTAACCCTGTCCCCAAACCCTTACTGTGTTGGTGACAAGGTTTCAGTACCAACCATTCTTCTGTTCACACTCATTGCTGCTGTGCCACCCCACTGACTACAAGGCACGACCGTCAGCTATCAGGCTGATCACCAGCTAGTACTGGCCGACAGTCACCTCCCGTATCTCCTGCATCTTTGCTTATGGAACATTTGTTTGAATGGCATTACGCACAACTGCCCTCATATTCTGGAGAAAAAGTCCATTTAGCAAAGGAATTAGGATCAATAACTACAGAGTTTCCCAAACTTTGGTATTAAACCAATCTGAGATTAAACCAAGGACTAAACCATAATTGCAATCGACATTAGGAAGGCAGGTGACAGATAAGCCAGCGTAGGTCAATATAAACCTTGTACTCCTGGCAATGAGGGAGAAGTATCTGTAGTGCTGAGAACTTTAGTCATGCTGAAGCTGGTGAGATCGATGAGCTATCAAGTGGGCAACTCATTCATCAAATATCAGACGAGTGTACTCCCTGCATTCCAAGGTCAAGCAGCATCTTATTTCTCAACCCATAGCTAAACGCAGGAATTAAACAATGCCATTTGGGATTGAGCACAAGTCTTTCCTTGTAAACTATATCATTAATATAGAACTATAAATAACAGATATGAAGCTCCAAGATGACATCCTACAGAGCAGCTTTTCAAAGTGTGCCATTTATCGAAGTGATTAAAAACATTTGAAATTCCTTTGTCAAGTCATGTGCTGAAAGCATAGTTTTCAAAACATGGATACAAAAAAAAACAAAAAAAAAGAGGAAAAGAATTAGCATTTTGAGTTTAGCAGGTATTAGACCTTAGATAGGAACTATACCAGGTTTGTGGGATGGATTACTACCTCTCTTCACATCTCCCTTCTCTGGTTTATAAATGCAAATGAAATGCCTTTGCATGAAGCACGTGGATCCCCTTTGTAACAAGTATAAAGAATTTATCCTCCAAAAAAAGTAAAAACGAAGTTTGCAAGCCCCAACTTTCAATCACGACACAACATGACCACATCAAATAAACAGTTTATTTGATTAGAACAGATCCTCTAGATACAGGAGTTACAACAAAAATGCCACTTGGCAGTCAATTTGTTTCCTAATTCAGTAATAAAAGAAAAGCGCAGTTTAGTTATAAAGGCACAAGGCTGACATTTCAGACAAGTCACTGATGTCCAACAGAACTGGCAAGAGAAACACCTCCCTCCTACCTTCTTTAAAAAACATTTATTTCACTTGCCTACAGTGACATTAAAATCAATGAAGGCCTGAACTGGAAGCAATCATCATACAAAAATCTGATCTCACAAGAGTCCTCAGAAGCAGTAAAACATGCTGAAGCTGTCAGTCAGCAACTCACATTTCTTTCTTTTTCACTATTCCAAAAAGTCTCCAGGAAGACTTCATGCTTATTGCCATTTCACTTGCTTAAAATAGCCACAAAAATCTCAAGAAGAACGAAGGTGAAAAATCAGCTAGTAGTAAAGTGTTTTTTATAAAAGACACCTGCCTACTGTGGTTTGTATGAGAGAACACGAGATAGCGCCCACTGAAACCCCTGTCAAACACCCCTTCACCTCCTCTCTGCAGCACCACTGTACCCACGCGCTCAGATCATTCCCTGAAACCGAGCCCAGCGGTTGTTTCAGCCAGGCACACTAATTCGCTTTTATGTCGTAATACATGCGCAGAACTCTCCTCACAGTCTCCACGTATTTATCATCAGGAACTGGTTTTCTCTGGCTTCCTGGCTCTAGAAATTTCTTGATTGTGGGGATGCTGCTCATCCTTGCTTTGAATGCCTGAAAGGTAAACAGTAAGTACATGGTGTTTAAAGAACAGAAAGTCAAACAAGAAAAAACAACTTTACTGATTCGTGTAACATCCCTTAACAAGTTGTATGTGGAGGCAAGATGGGAAACATAGTTTTAGCCATGGATGAATTTTACTCCCCCTCACTCCAACCTTGTTATTTTCAACAGTAATAAAACAGCCCCCTGTCTTGTATTGATACGGGATGAAGCGGAACAGTTATCCATGGTTTCAGGTGCATACTTTACTCAAATCACTTCTTGTGATCCAGAAAATAAAGGTGTCACAGAACTGGGGAGGGGAAAAAAAAAAAAGGGAGGGTGGGTTTCTTCAGATCTGTACAGGGATTACTGAAGAAAATAACAGATTCTCTAGATGAAACATATTGCAAGGCCCTTCCTAAAGCAAGAGCAGCAAGACTGCAGCGAAAGAGTGCCAAATGCTCTTGCTCTGTGGAATTATCTACACACAACAGACTTCGAAATATCATTTACCACATTTCCAGCCATATGAGCATACTGTTAGTGTAAGGTACCTGTAACTGAGGAAAGCCTGAGAGCACGTCTGACTGCTTCTCTTCTACCATTAAAATGGCTTCAAAAAGATGAACGTCTGCCCAGCTAAAATTGTTGCCAACAAGAAAGTCCTGCCCGTGGTCTTTCAAAACCTAGACGTGTCATAAATGAAAACATTCAGATGTGGATAGCCAGCTGGGGTTGATGTTTCCAAAACGCACAGACACACCTTCTTCGACAATAGTTCCTGCCTCCTCTTCTTTTCACCTTCCTCTCCCATGCAACTAGGGACACTACTAGTGTGGGGGATGTGCATCCAGTGCCTGCAGTCACTGGTCATGTCATCAGGTATCTATGAGCAGCCCTCACAGCAGCAATCGAGAATCCCAGGGTTTCTCTTACCCATCCTTCCTATAGCCCTAGGCAACCCCACGTACTGGACTATGGGGTTAGACACCTCCTTGTATTCACTCCTTTCCAGCCTAATAAATCTTGACTTTTTCTGTATGTAGTTACAGCTTCAATGGGGAAATAGAGAATGTAAAAGAGAGTGATCAGCCTAAAGCATTGGGGCTGGGATGCCACAAGTGGAATCTAGGGCAGAACGATCTCAGGCAGCCATCTAGAGGAGAGATGGTATTTAAGTGGGAAACTGTCTTCCCTTTAGTCTTTAAAACAGAAAGGCAGCTATTTCTGTCAGATCATCCTGTCTGTCTATATTGATTTCCATTGAGAGCATCTCTTGGGCTCTGTCTCTCAGAGAAACACCAAGATTCCAGTGGCTTAAGCAGCAGACCACTGAGACTAGAAGACAGCAGGGACAGTTGTGTATTACTGTGGTCAAAAACCCAGGTAGATGCATTTGAAATGTTAAACAAAGCTGACAATTAGCTATTCTAAATTGGCATTTGCTTTGCAATACAAGTTACACTCTGTCATTTCTCCTAAACCCAGGAAGTTGCTATTTTAACTGTATATAGCCATGTTTACACATTCATGGGATCCTAACAGTTCTGAGCCAGAGGGTTTACCTGGACCCTTCAGTCTGAATGTTGCTGCTGATCAGACCATGAAATCTCACTTAGGAATTTCTGCATTTAACCCACCCCAACTTTTCTCATACTGCTCTGACCTCCCTCCAGCCTGCAGATAGTATGATGTCCTGGTGTAAAGTACTGCACTGACACCTTTCTGATTCTTCTGCTTTTGGTAAAATACTCAGAGTTCCCACTGTTATCCTTCCAGAGCAATGTTAGGAAATGATCCTCCTACTTACCTTTTCATATGCTGGGAAATACCTGCCTGTTGCCTTTTGAACTATAACAGCACGTTGTTTCTCTTTATCCTCAGCCGTTAAGAACGGAAATATCAAAATGAAGCCCATGAGGTCATCAGTTCCTCCAACATACATATCAATCCTTAAAAGCAAAGCAAACAAAAACCTTAAATAAAAAGGCACCTTCATAAGCAGAGGTTTCTTAGATTTGTGTTGTGGTAGTAAAAGTTGAATTTCACACCCCCCTCATGAAAATTATTTTTGCAGTTAAAAAAAACCAAAGTCACACTCAGTCTCACTCCTATTTGTAGTGTTGCTGGCACTTCACTTGCCTCATTGTGCAGGATTAAACAGGATTGTACAGAGGTTAAAAAAGTTTAATTTTGGTGTTACAGATCACTTCAGAATCACCAAAGAAACACATAGCACCACAAGAAGTCATTCCCGGCTTAGTCTGCTGGATGTATCCCGCCTTTAGGGTTTCACCCAGAGTCCAAGTGGTGCCAAACAGATAAACTCTGATACAAAATTCGGAGCTTCCAAATGCCCT